CTTGAATATATGTAACAAACTGGCGTCAACAGCTTTCTGAGGTAGAGAGTTCTATAGGTTCACAACTCTCTGAGTGAAGAAATTCTTCCTCATCTCAGTCCTGAAAGGCTTATCCCTTATTCTTACACTGTGACCCCTATGTCTGAACTTACCCAACATCGGGAACATTCTTCCCACATCTAGCCTGTCCAGTCCCATCAGGATTTCATATGTTTCTATGAGATCCCCCCTCATTCTTCTGAATTCCAGTGAGTACAAGCCCAGTCGATCCAACCTTTCCTCATATGTCAGTCCTACCATCCCAGGAATCGGTCTGTTGAACCTTCACTCGACTCCCTCAATAGCAAGAATATCCTTCCTCAGACTAGATTTCCAGATGTAATTATGCAATGAATGACGATAGTTACCATGGTCACCAAGACTAGTTTTGTATTCCATGTATTAATTAATTAATTGAATTTAAATTCCATCTGTTGCCAAATGCATTTGAAACCATGTTGATTAGGTTTGGTCTCTGTATTACTGATCTAGTGATATTTCCACTGTACTGCTGTCTTCCTCAATTGCACACAACAAAACTGCACACTTTGCAGTTCCAGATATTCTTCTCTCTTCATGGACTAGCCAAATCCCCGCTAGAACTGCCAACACTGGGACACATCCTCACACTGCTGTCCCCTCATATACCTCTCAGCTGTCTCCACAAATGTTGTCCTTCCCTCCTATCCACTCAAGTATAACTCTCTTCTCTCTCTCCTTGTCAGAGAACACACTACCTCCTGGAAAGAAAGTGACCCAGGATCCAGCCCTGGGCAGAGTCAGGCACCTTGGCAGCCACTGACAATGCTTGCCCACTTTGTCTCCTGGGATGGCGCCAACTGATGTCAGCAATGATCATGGCAGCCATAGCCTCCTGAGGCATGTTGAGGAAGCTGATCATCTGCCTACAATCTCCGGCCTCATCTTCTTGGAGCTGAATCTCGGAGTCTGTCCTTAGAATCCCTACAGTGCAGAAAGAGGCTATTTGGTCCATTGAGTCTGCACTGACCCTCTAAAGAACTTCCCACCCAGACCCACCCTCTCCCTGTAACCCCACATTTCCCACGGCTAACCCACCTAACCTGCACATCCCTGGGCACTATGGGCAACTTAGCATGGCCAATCCACCTAACCTGCACATCTTTGGACTGTGGGTGGAAAATGAAGCACCCAGAGGAATCCCACACAGACACGGGGAGAATGTACAAATTCCACAAAGACAGTCACCAGAGGCTGGAATCAAACCCAGGTCCCCAGCGGAGTGAGGCAGCAATGCTAACCACTGAGCCACTGTGCTGCCAAAGCCACTCAATCCTCTGTTCTCTGTGAAGCAGCATGTGACTGAGGCAGATACTGCTGCAGGAGATGTTCATTCTGCTTCTACTGGTGTTATTGTCTCTCTTGTTCCTCAGTACCTGCTACTACCACTGCCGGTGTTACTGCACTCACTAGACTTTGGAATGGTCAGCAGCTGGTTTGTCCTCTTTGGGGAGCATTGTCATGCCAGGCCATAATTGAGATCAAGTGGTGATGGCAATGGATTAAGTTGCACATGAGATAGATGATGACCGAAGGAGGGAGTCTGGAATGGATACAGGGTGAGGAGGTTGTGTAAGGCTGGCAGGGACAAGGAAGCAGGATAGAAGGGCTGGAACGTTTCGCTACAGGCCTTGACTCCGAAAAGTGCCATATTCTAGGTGCCCTTTAGACATGACACCAGAACCTTTGACCTCATAGAATCCCTGTAGCATGGAAGTAGACCATTTAGCCCATCGAGTCTACGCCTTCAAAGAGCATCCCATGCAGGCCCACCCCCCAATACTTGTAACCCTGCACTTCACGTGACTAACCCACCGAGCCTGCACTTCCCTGGATACTATGGGTAATTTCCCATGGCCAATCCACCCTAACCTGCACATCTTTGGACTGTGGGAGGAAACTGGAGTACCCGGAGGAAACCCACGCAGACACGGGGAGAATGTGCAAACTCCGAACAGACAGTCGCCTGAGGGTAGAATCGAACCTGGGCCCCGGTGAGGCAGCGGTGCTGACCACCGTGTTACCCAGAGGGTCAAAGTGGGGTTGGCGTCTTCCTGTCCGATCCC